GGTATATTGTTTTTATATAATAACATACTATTACTATTATTATTACTATTATTATGATAATATATTGATGTAATATAATTTGTGTAGTCAATATGTAGTTTTTCCACCTTTTCGAAATAAAGGTCATGGAGGTAAAAATTTTTTCGTATTAGTAAAGATATTTGATTTATTATTATTATTTATTTATTATATGAAAAATTTTTTCTAATTCTAATTATTCTTTGTTTACATAATCTGATCAAAGGTAAACTTTATCAAGCATTATATAATAATTATTTGGCAGATTCTAGAATTAAAGAAATAACAGGTAATTAGTTTATAACATATTAAAAATACATTATTATTATTATTTATTTTACAACATAATGTTTTGATTTTTTTATATTTCCAGTCGAAGATCCAAATGAAGCATTTCAAGAATTGCGAGATCGTAAAGATTTAGCATTCATTATGGAAAATAAATTATTTGAGGGATTAAAAGCTCCTGTTGATAAAAAATTAATTGAATCGTTAAGAAAAAAATATAAATTTGAAAAAGTATACTATAGTAATTTTTATTGTATATATATGTGTGTGTTTGCTAATTGATTAATTAATTTATCATATTAATTTTTCCTTTAAAAAAAATTTGAAGCGACAATTTTCACGTTGTTTAGAAATTCTTTTATTAAGAAGTTTAGACAAGACAAACGTTGAAGAATATAAAGCGTATAGATTACAAGTAAAGGAACGGCTATATCATTGGAATGCGGTATTCTTTTAAAAAATAAATTATTTTCAAAAAATTATTATATATCTAATAACTATAAATTATGATATTTACATAGGAATCATTGAGACAGTTTACTGTAGATGAAAGAAAACAACATTTAGGAGAAACGTTTAATTCGTTAATAGAAGAATATCATTCAATTATTTTGAAATTATGAATTCATTATATTTTTATAATTCAAAAAATATATGAATTAATTAATAAATAAATAAAATAATTACTACTGCTGCTACTACCACGACTAAAATTATTAAAATCACATTTGGTTTAAATCACTCAATCAATCCATCCATCTATTTCATTCGTCAAATCTATATCATTTTTATAAAAAATCTTTTTCAATATCAAGGAAGGAATAAAATAGCTAATATAAAATAATGGAATTATTTAGAAGCAAGCTTTTGAATTAGAAAGAAAACATGAGTCAGTATTAGTATTAGCAAAATTACATAAATTAAAAATTTCTGCGCCAAAATACAAGTTTCAAAAAAATATAATGAAAATATTTTTTTTTAGTTGAAATGTTTTTTGCCAAATATATTTGCCATCAGAATCATATCAATAATGGTAAATGATATCAAAATAAAGTTTTTTTAATTCACTATGTCGTCATCACGTCGATTATAATTATAACGATGATAAATAAATAAATGGGTCAAAAAAGAATATAATGAACGAACTTGATTTAAAAAACATTTTTGTTTATTATATAGATAATAAAATTTATCCGTTATAAACGTCTTTCTAAATTAATTCAAACATTGAAATTATGAAATAATTATTTGGGACTTTATATAAAATGGCACTATTATGTAGTTATCCACAAAAAATATCCGCAATCGCCTAATTGATTTTTAAATAAGGATAACACGCACCCAACCCACCAATAAAAATTGGATATTCTGAGGTTTCACGAAATTAGTGGATATTTTTTGTGGATAACTATATACACAATTATAATGGCACTAACCAATATTTTGAACATATTATTGTGTCCGATTGGACATTGGCTAAAATTAGTTTAAACTGGCACCAAATCCAAATTTAAAAGTTGTTACATATGTATTTTGAAAATCAATATTAACGTACTAGCATTTAAGTATGTGATCTAATTCACTATTTTGAAAAAAAATAAATTTTTTTAATAAAATGTCATACCATAAATTATTGCCAGCTGGCAGAGTACTATTTGTATATAAAATTTATGCTGAAATAAATGCTAATGCCGCATCAATCACAACCGATACTTATAACAATGATTCATCAAATACTTCTATTAAAGAAACTCTAAAGGCAACATTTTTATCATTAGTAAGTGAAAACAAAGAACTTTTAGAAAATGAAAAAGAATATTGCAAGGAAAGATATATTTATGATGAAGAATTAGAGTATGCATTGCACAAAATTGGTGAGCCAAGAGAATGTAAAAATTGCAATGCAACAAGATATTCTACTAGATTTTGTGAAAACTGCATTAGCTTACACCTACAAACCCTTTTTAATACTTGGACTTCAGGAAATAAAATTGTTGATGATTTTATTCAAAAATGCCAAAAACTCTCAGCCCTTCCAAAAAGTATAATGGAATGGATCCCATTTGATCAATTCAAATATATTGAATATTTAACTAAAGGAGGATTTGGTAGTATTCATGTGGCAAGATGGACAAGAGGATGTATAAATGATTATGACGAAGATAAAAAGGGAATTTAGTTATTTTGGACCTCATGGAGTAGTTTTAAAATGTTTAAATAATTCAAATAACATTGGAAATAAATTTTTTGATGAGGTCAGTAGTAATTTCATTTAAAACACAAATAAATAATTTGTATATTATAACATAATATTAGATTAATTGAGTTTATCTATATTCCAGGTATTGAATTATTGTAAAATTAAATCAGCAATGATTGTTTGTTGCCATGGTATAACTAAATTCCCAGATAATGGAAATTATGCAATGGTCCTGGGTTATGGGCCAGAAGGAAATTTAAGAGATTATTTACAAAAAAATCATTTAAAAGACAGAATTACATTTTTAAATATTTATGTAGTTCATTATATCATATACATGATAAAGATTTAATTCATTGTGGTTTACACAGTGGTAATATACTAGTACAAGGTGGTGGTTGTTGTATCACAGATTTAGGATTATGTGGGCCATTTGATGATAAATCATCAAATAAAATTTATGGAATCATGCCATATATTGCACCTGAAATTTTTCAAGGAGGGAAAAATACAAAAGAATCAGATATTTACAGCATTGGAATGTTAATGTGGGAAATATTTTCTGGACATCCACCATTTGATAATAGATCTCATGATATAGATTTAGTTTTGAATACTTATGATGGATTAAGACCAAAAAATTTGTTGAATATGCCAGAAGATTATAAACAAATGATGCAAAAGTGTTGGGATGCTGATCCATCTAAAAGACCAACTATTTGGGAGCTTTGGGTATTTGCTGAAGATTATTTAGCTAAAGTTCATAAAGGTGAAGTTTTAAATAATAGTGGTGGCAATGGTGGTAATGATAATGGTGATGGTTCACAATTGAAAAAATATGAATCACATCCACAAGCATATAATACAAGTAGAATATTCAATGTTATTAATCCTAAATCAAATGGTATTAGTTCTAGTTATGTAACTTCAGTATATGAACCTAGAATTCCATCTACTAGAATTGATATTATTACTAATGGTAAATATCCTGACTAATTGATTAACTATTACTTATTATATTTATTATTTAAATATATTTTTTTTTTCTAATTAGTGGAAAATACAATTTATGAAGATGTCATTGTAAGTGATGAAACTGAAAAGATTGGCAAAGCTGATGAAAATATTTGAAGAGAAGGAATAAGTTAATAATACTTTACAAATTTTGCTTTTAAAGGTTTAGGACTATTACAATTATTTATTAGAATGTTAGAAATTGTAATTTCACCTATAAACTTTATAGTATTGATTTATTCTTTGAATATTCATCTCCATTCATTATATTATATATTTTTTAATGCTCTTAATAAATCATTTTTTTTATTTATTATATCTTCTAATTTATTATTTCTTAAATATAATTACAGGGTGAGTTGATCCACTGTCTTCTATCATCATCATGTTAATCACCCAAATCATTGTTAATTTCATTTAAAAATTTGTTATATGATTAATAAATGTTCTTTTTATTTGTTATATATCTTCATTTAAGTTTTGAAGTTGGATTTAAACAGTTTAAAATAAATAAATAATCATGTCAAAGATAATATGCTTTACCTACATATGAAGAAGATGATGATTGAAGAGAACTTTAAAATTTAAATAATAAATATCTGATTATGTTTAATTTTAATCAATTATATTTAATATACATACTTACTCGGACTTGAATTTGGTTCCTTTTATCAGTAATGATTATATTTATCTATAGTATTTTTTTGTGCGCGGTTGGATGATTTTTAGACAATGTAGTATCGGTATTGAGTATTAGTATTATTTAAAAATCTCGATTAAGATAATCATTAAAATAATAACGACTATTTTAACATTGGATGACATCATCTACTTTCTGATGAACACAACGTATAAAACGAAAAGAGCGAAATTGGTGATATTTTGGTGAAGCCCCCCCACAAAAGATATTTTTTACGCAAATATTGATATCAATTCTTGAGCAATATAAAAAAGAATGGGGGAGTACAAAAATATATTTAGATGAGGAAATTTATGAATCCGAGATTTTTTTAATCACCAAAGAATCATTTGACGAACCTCAGAATTTCATCTTGTTTCAATTTCTTTATTAAAAATATGATAGAAATGATTTCTGCTATTTCCGCTAAAAATGCAAACACTGCTGCAGCTGTTATGTCATTTATCTCATTCCTGTGTCTTTTATTAGCGAACTTGGGGACACCAATTATCATGTCAATCTATATTGCGAGTTATGAGGGTGTTGATGGTCTAAAGGACATTTAATATGATATTTGGAGTATACAGCGAATGTGCGCAAAATAAAAATTCAATTTATTCTTTATTCATATGTATGCGCGAATAGTAATCTTAAAAGTCCGGGACGTCCCTAGCGGTAGAAAATTTTTGTTGATTATAAATGCCATTGATAACGTGTTTACTTATTAATCATATCATTAAAGTGTGAAAATATATTATATATACATAATAATTGATTGAATATATTTTAGGCGTAATAACATCATTCATATTGTTTGCATTGGCATTTATGCACGTAGTCAAATTATGAAGAAAAGAGTGACATGGTCTTTGCATTATTCAGTTTCTTTATTATTTTGTTAGCATTGGGAGGACAAATTGACGTGGTTTTTACCTCCAAAATTGGTTTAGTGAACCCCATTTAGTCTAGGCAAAGCAAAATTAAAGATTGGGGGTAGTGCAATTAGTCTTGTGATTATACCCCTCGTACTCTCACTCTTGTCAGTTTTTTGCATTTTTACATTGGAGATTGAGCTGTAAGTTAAGGAGGTGGTGACATCAATGGTTCCAAAAATATGAGCACAACAATGACCAGCCAGCAGCAACCTGTTCCTCAACAATCTCCACAATTTCCACAATCATATCCAAATCCTCAATATTATCAATATAATAATGATGCAAATCAATACTCAAATCCATATTCAAAATCCACAATCTTATCCAAACCCTCAATCTTATTTGAGCACCAACCATCAACCTGTTATTTATTTTTATTTTTTTTAACCCAATGTATCATCAATTTAATTTTTGTGTTAACATTAATTAGTAATTTTGATAATTATTAAGATTAATAACACTGTATAAACATCAATTTACATTAATAATAATTATGACTCTGCATCACCTTCAATATAATATAATACAAATGTTCGTAGTCGTCTATGGTATTGTTTAAGACCTGGTGTCAAAAATGTTCCCTATATAGATTATAAATTTAAAAAAATTATTATTTTAATAAATATTACATAAAGATTAGAGATTATATAGATGTATAGATAGATAGATAGATAGACATGTATATAATCAACAACCATGTATATTTCATATGATGTATCGTCTTCATCGTCTATATTATATTCACAAATTTTTTCTCCCATTGGTTTAAAACTATATGCATCTGATTGAACAGTTTGTATAAAAACATCATAATTTGTAATAAAATCTATAATTTTTTTTATAAAAAAATATTAATTAATGAGCATAATTTTTTTTAAAAAAAAAATTGTCTTGTCAATTTTTTCAATTATTAATTTTTTTTACCGTCAGGGATATACTTTTTAATGTTTACTATAAATTCGTCAGCAATTGATTTAGATCCAACACCTTGTATTTGTTTATCATAAGAAACATCAAAATATGTGGCAAGACTACCAGATGCATAATACATCTATTTGTAATTATAACAACAAGAATATATATGTATATAATTTAGATATAATTTCTCTTTTTCTCACTCTTCTTATTAAATAAAGAAATAAAAACCTTTATGGCCAAATTTTTGTAACCATATATCTGTTCTTTTTCACCAAATATTGGGTATGTAAATTCAGGAGAAAATTCATCATAATAAACAGTATCCAACTCATTATCATTATCATTATCATTATTAACATAATCATCATTTGACAATGAAGGTCTTACTAAGAAAGGAGATTATTATTAATAATATTAATAACAAATAGTAGGAGAGTAAGAGGGAGAGTATAACAATCGATGATAACAATAATAAGTAAAATAGATGCAAAAGTTATGAGTATATACATACATATATATATATATATATATATATTTTTTTTTTTTTCATGAATGCTTTAAGAAAAGAACCTACCAAACCTTAGTTTGAGTGCTTTGTTTGAACTGCAAATCCATTTTTTATCGCGTAAGTCATCCAAATCAGTCATTTTATTTTTTTATTTGAAATGATTGATGTTTAAACGCGAGCGATTTGATCAACGTATAAATGGGGCATGCTGCAACAAAACCAGACAAAGTGAACATTGGTATTACAAGAATTTCAGGGATCATAATTTAGTTATTATCATCACAATTAATTTTATAATGTCATATTTAAGCGATATACAGAATTGCCCCTATATAAAAACAATTAATATGAAGCTAATTTACATCAGATCTACTATGGAATCCAAGAATTATATCACCATTAGAAGTATTTTAAAAAAGGAACAAGATGAAAAAATTGCTCCTTATATTTTCAAAATAAAAGAAGAAAGAAAAACAATAAATGTTAGAAAAAGGTAGCAGGATGAAAGTGTGCTATTATTGCCCAACAAAAAGCAAAAATCATCAGAAGGAAAATAATCTAATTGTTACAATATTGATTTTTTTACTATATACAAAGAAAATTCTTTATGCAAATATAATTAACAACCATCATATTGTATTGCTTATCAATAAAAACATTGTTTAAATGAATTTTACATTCAAGAACATAAATCTTTGTTTTTTCTCATTGACAATGCAAGTGCTCTGACAATTTTTTAACTTATATTTTCTATTATTAGTTGAAATTATTTTCTTTTGTTTTTAATTCATTGTCCATAAATAAATTCCAAGTCATGTGTCCACTAATTTATCATTGGTCGAAATTATGCATAGAAAACAAAATCAATAAAAAAAAGTTTTTTCAATTTTTGTTTTAAAAATGACAATTTCAGAAGAAATTAAAAAAAGAATTGGACAAGGCAGAGAAAAGATTGGTTGATGTTGAAGAAAAGTTGAAGAGACTGGAGAAGTTGAGAAGGTGTAGAAAAAGAATATTACGTTGGTGAGCTACAAAATTTAGAAGGAAAAGAAGAGGAATTGGAGAAGAAGAAAGAATGGGGGGAGGAAGTAAGGAAATGGAATGAGTTGTGGAGAAAGGAATGTAATAATGAAAAAGGTAATGAACAAATTGTGTAAAAAAAAAATATACAAAAAATTATTTTCATTCATTTCATTTATTTATTTATTTGCTTGAGTGACATAATATATATTACTGTTTTGAAGTGTTGACTAACCTATGTTTTTTTTATTTCTTTGCTCTATCAATGACCTATTGAAATATATTTCTTATTGTCCATTATCTTCTATCTATTTTACATATGCATTTTTTATTCTTATTTTAACAGGAGGAAAACATTTGCTGGATAAAGGTATATATATTATCTTCAATATTTTAATTTATTATATAATTTTTATTTTTCTAACATTTTGGTCTTTTGTCATGCAAATAGGTATGTTTTGATTACTATATTTTGCATTTTAGTATTATCCATTTAGCTCACAAGATTATCACTTCCATTTTTTACTTGATATTTTCATGAAACAGAGGATGAAGGTAACTTACTAGATTTATTTGATTTTATATCTATATATTTACAATAACTCAAATTATATGTTATTACTACCAGTTCAAATAGTTAAACATAGGAAATGGGAAGTGAATGGTACTATTACTCCAGATCAATACAATAAATACTTTGTTGTAGAACCAAAATTAGATAAATTTATTGATAAGATTAAAGATGGTGAATATTTACTACTATATGGGCCATGTGCATCAGGGAAGTCAACACGTATCATGTATGCAATGCAAAAATTGCAAGAAGAGGGATATCATTGTATCTAGTAAGTTTTACTTTGTATATTAATATATTTATATATATATATGATTCTCTTATGACATTTATTCTTATTGTAGTTTTGTTTTTCTTTTGTTATGCAATGATCATTCCTTATGGTATAGCTTGGATTTTACAAAAACAAATCTTAATAATGATCTAAAAGCAATGTGGATATCATTTTATCGGTTAATGAAACCTCAATGTCATGCAGGAATTGTTAATAATGAATTTAATCAGATGTTGGATTTTGTTGAGACATTTTATAAAGAGAAATGGGATCGCAAAGTTATTTTATTTTTAGATGAATTTGATAGAATTTATCATGCATCTGATGAAATTTGTGATGACTGTTTAAGTGCCATTCATTCCTTAAAAAATGATAAAAGGTATCATATTATGCATTCTGTAGTAGCTGCTGGTCCCTTTAGCATTCAATACTTAAATCCAAAAGGAAATTACACATCACCATTCAATGCTGTAACAAGCTTCCCAAATCCAAACTTTACAAAAGAAGAGGTAGCAAATCTATATCAGGATTACTCATCTTCAATAAATATAAATATTGATGCATCAATCATTAGTGATATCTACAATAAAACAAATGGGTATGTACAATAATTCAATCTTTAATTTCATGAATCTAATTTTTTTCCTGTTATGGTTTTATGTTTTTGGTAGCCATGTTGGACTTGTTTGTTTGTGTGGTCATGCAATTGATGAAGATTTGATTTGCAACATTGGTCAAAATAATATTTTGGATCTGGATTCTTGGATTGTTTATTGTTCAAATGAATTACAGAATAGAATTATTCAATATCCAACATTCACAAAGATGGTTTCAACATTGAAAAAATCAAAAGCTCCCATGGATTTGCCTCGATCTTGATTTATGTTTGACTTGGAGTTTCAGAATGTCATTCTAGGTGATATTGACCATGCTAACTTTTTTGCTTCTGAAGGGGCCTTACAACCACATAAAGATCCAGATAAATTTAAGATTTCTTCACCTTTAATACGTGCATTGATATTACAATGTGTGATTCCTTCTGTGTATCCAGATCATCCTAAAGTTGATGTACCTTATAAAGATGGGATTCTTGACACTATTAATGTTCTGAAAGAAGCTGTTAGGGTATTTGATCAAGATATAATTTCTTTGGGATTTCAACGATCATTTAAAACAGCCAAGAATTATGTTGATGACAAAAAGAAACAGCATGTACCTTGTGAAAGTATATATGATCAAGAATTTTTTCGAATTCTTTCCAACTGGCCTTTCAATAAGTGGACAATGGCATCTAATAGAAGGTGAAACTCATCAGTACCCAGACTTTGTAATTACAGAAAACAACAAAAATTCTATCATTGTTATAGAACTAGTGGCAACAGCTTTAGATAATGATCTTAAAAATCATTTTAGAACAACAATGGAATATACAGAAAAGCTTAAAGCAAATGAAGCATGGGTAGTTCATTTTACATGTGCAGACAATGTTATTGAAAAACCTACTTGCCCAATTGAACAGGAACAAAAAGATAAGCTTCATATAGTACATTTTTGGCATGATATATCTTTCAAGAGTGTTCAAATGACTGCCCATTTCCCAAATGGAGAAATTATTAATGAAATTGTAATTGGTTAAATCATTAATGTATATGTTTAGTGAATTTTCTTTGCAAATTAAATGACAAAATTGTGCATATTTTTAATCAATATTCTTTAATACTTTTTCTAAAGTTTAATAATCAACTGAAAATTTATTAATATAATATGTGAAGACTTCTAATTGTGAAATTATGCTTAATCATCCTGTTGAATAAAATTTAGTATTATAATTTTAGTAGGGGAAGAAAGATATAATGTGAATTTTCCAAACAATATGTCACAGGAGGTGTAATTACATATATAAAATAGAAAATCCAACTCGTGTAACAAATCAGTTTTTTAAAATATCTCATTATTTTTATAACAAATTCAAACATCATTATTAATCAAAGATAAAACTATGACATTATAGCTTTCTAATGAGCCCTCTCCCATATTTATAGAGGCACTCTATGTCAATCTATATTTATTCAAAAACAGCATTACTTTTTACTTCAAAGCTAAGATTTTTTACCAATATTATCTTTACAAACTTGATGAGTGGTTGAAGAGATGTAAAATATTGTAAGTTTTCATTTAGGTATAGCTTTATGTGTATTGTTATTTATTAAAGTTTAGTGAAAATGTCAAAAAACTCCAACAAACATACTAAATTTTGATAAATTTATTTATCAATAAGGATACCAGCTGCAACTTTTGATGATGGTTGCTACCACCTTTGCATCATATAAAAATGATTGCAACCACCTTTACGACCATTTTGTTTCCTTTTTTGGATTGCGACATGGAACACTATTTATCAATACACAAAAAGGAAAAAATTGTGGGCAGGAGTCATAACCAAAAATAGATAATTAATTTCCAAATGCGGTAATTTGGTTGATAAACTTTAGCACCAAGATTTTTTTCTATTTTATTAATAACCTCTCCTAATTTTTTTCTAAAAGAAGGAATAAGTCTTGAAAAATCTGTGTCTCAAATTTGGTGGAGATTAGTGAGCAAAAAAGGGTTAAAATTAAGATTTGTGGTTAATTTTATTAATAGAATTTTGACGTTGATCACCAGAAATTTCGGAAAATACACTTATCAATCATTTAATGTGACAAATCGTTCAACTAATATCTAACACCCCAATGCCCCATGTAATGAAAAACTTTTGTTACACACATTCTTAAAATCGTTGACTACTAATAAATTTGACCCTATTAAACCTAACTAACCTTTTGATGTATATAATAATTTGACTCACAGATTGATCCTAGCGCTAAATTAATTGACTCTATTAATGATTGTTACATACTACAAAAAATTTAATTTATATATGAATTTGACCCAGCTGCGGCAGTAACCTATCTATGAAGTTTCCGGGTTCTGGTTTGACTGTTAGGTTACACATTTATATATTATTAGTCACAGGACATGTCACATCAATTGATTTTCTATATGTGAAAATAAATTCGAAATTCGTGTCACATGAAGTTTT